ATTGATGGACACTTGGGTTGTTTCCAGTTTTGGCTACTGTGAATCATGCTGCTGTGAGTGACTTTAGCAGGCTTTAAGGTAACCAAAACAGGCGTTGATCAGTGCACGTCCACCCACAATGATGTATGGTATTTTCTGGGGTAAGAGGAGCACCCAGCAGAGGCAGCCTTGCAGCACCCTCTCGGGGGTCTCTACTGGGCTCTGGGAAAACCCTATCCCCGCTCCCACCCAGGCTGGCTCGATTGTGAACCTGGGAATTCCAAACACAAGACTCTGAGAGGATTCCAGAAGCTCCACGGAATGGCCAATAGGGCTGGGAACTCAGCTCTGGAAAATGGCCCCGCCCCTTTAAAGAGGAGGATCGCTAGTTTGGGGGTGGGCAGGCCAAAGTGAGAAGAAGGGAGGGGAAGGAAGGGGAGGGGACAGATGAGAAAATAGGGGAAGGGAGAGGAGAGGCTGGGAGGGGAAGGAGGGCAGGGGAGAGGCTTCCTCCAAGTCCCAGGTGGGCAGGCGGCCTCCCCGCACCTGTGCTTCGCCTCCCGCCTCCCACCTCCCGCCTCCTGCCTCCCGCTTCCCGCTTCCCGCCTCCCGCCTCCCGCCTCCCGCCTCTCGCCTCCCGCCTCCCGCCTCCTCTTGGGCGTGGAGCCCCCTGGGCAGGGGAGGAGAAAGGGGAGTCACACAGGATCCTATGCTGTCACCCCGAAGTCACTTCCTGCTCTTTAAAGTGAGGGACAGTGCACCTCGAGGTTTAGGCATCCCTCCCGCCCGTGGGAGATGGGGCCGCCCCAGCCCCGCCCCCACCGAGCTTCACCCCACCCCGCCCCCATCTTGGGACCTCAAGCCACATTCTTGCTAACTCATCTCCCGACCCTGGGGCGCTGAGCATCACGGCGCAGTCTCCTCTTTGCGGGCCAGCCAGACCCCAACAATTCTGATCCCAATCGCCTCGCCCCCTCCCCCAGCTCAGCTCCAGGTGCCCGTCCTGTCCCTGGGGAGACTAAATCCAGCTTCTCCTGTGCTTCCTGGACGTTTGTATGTCGTGTTTAGGGAGATGCCCATTCACATCCACTCCCCACTTTGTAATTGGGGCGATTGTCTTTTGGTTGCCAGGTCCTCCCAAACAGGACTTGCAAGTATTTTCTCCCACTCTGTGCAGTGTCTTTTCACTCTTGTTGCACTCAAGTTTTGTTGTGTGTTTTTTTTAAGATTTTATTTATTTATTTTTAGAGACAGGGAAAGGAGGGAGAAAGAGAGGGAGAGAAACATGATGTGCAAGAGCTACATCGACCCATTGTTTCTTGTTTGCCCCCAGCTGGTGACCTGGCCCACAACCCAGGCATGTGCCTGACTGAAAATCAAACTTGCGAAATTTTGGTTTGCAGGCCGGCCAGCACTCAATCCACTGAGCCACACCAGTCAGGGCGCACCCAAGTTTTAAAATTTTTTAAAAATATTTTATTTATCTTTAGAGAAAAGGGAAGGGGGAGGAAGAGAGGGAGAGAAACATCAATGTGTGGTTGCTTCTCACATGCCCCCAAGCTGGAACCTGGCCTGCAACCCAGGCATGTGTCCTGACCGAGAGCTGAACCTGCGACCCTCTGGTTCACAAGCCGGCACTCAATCCACTGAGCCACACCAGCCAGGACCCAAGTTTTAAATTTTGACTAAATCCAATTTCACGGATTTTTTCATGTGCTTGTCAGCCTGTGCATCATGTTAAGGAACCACTGCCAAGTTTAAGTCCATGAGACTAAGACGATGAGGGTAAGTTAAAGCAGCAGCTGTGATGAGGGCTTACTGTGGAGGTCTGGCAGTCCTTCACAGTCCAAAGGGGGAAAATGTCCTGAGCCTGAGGTTTGAGCAGCCGTTGGGGTGGGATGCAAGAGAGTACCTTCTAGAACAGGGAACAGCAGGTGCAAAGACAGGAATGCAAGAGTAAGTGAAAGACTTGTACCTCCCCCTCCCTCTCATTCTTCTCCCCAGGATCTCGGGGTAGCCCCTACCCCAGCCTGGGTCCCCACGGAAGAGGGGAGGGGGCCTGAGTAAGCGGGGAGGCCATTACTGGGGGAATGGCAGGTGCCAGCCACCCCCTTTAGTCTGTGGTAGCCTCTTTGGCAGAGGAGGGAGCTGATACCCAAAGGGATGACATCTTCCCTGAAGCTGCAGAGCCAGAGGGCAACTGCAATGACAGTCCCAGCAGGCTGGCTCCTGCTGCCACCAGGTGGGTATCATGGGGGAGGGGACAGGGCTTGTGGCCTGAGTCCCTCTCTCACCTGAGGCCTCTGATTCTCCAGGTGCTTCTCTGTGGACCTCCCTCTGTCCCCTGGGAAGCCCGGCCAGAAACCTGAAACTCAGGCCTCCGTTCAGGCTGCCATGAGGCCCAGGCCTCTCCCTTCCAACCTCCTTCCTCCTCCAGAGGCACCCTGTCGTTGCCATGGGGACTTCAGAACAAGCAGGTCCTCCACCTACCTGGCCTGTGGTTCAAGGTTCAGCCTCCAGCCTCGGGGTGGCCTGCCTAGGGGCTTGTACACCTGGTCAGCTACCAGCCCAGTGGGGCAGGGTAGGGGGCTGGAAGCCCCACTGGCTGCAGAGTTCCTTCCCCTTCCTCACCCCCACTGCACCTCAAACCCAGCTTTCTGGGAAACCCTGTCACAGCTTCCTGTGAACTCTGTTAACCTGCGAGTACAGAGCCGGAGACGGAGGCCGAGTTCTGCCTCTCCGACCTGAGGCTTCCTGTCCTGCTCAGCACACACCTCCTCCTCCTGTGGCAGGCTGCACACACTCTCCCAGCTGCCCACCTTGCAGAAGATTCTGGATTGTCCCTGCCCACACCCCCCTGCCACACGGTGTCCCAGGCTCTAGACGCAGAAAGCCCGGTGGCTTCAAGCAGGGCTGCCCCAGACACACACGAGCCAGGGTCTGACTTCTGCTGCTGGGTGACTGTGGCCTCCTACAGTGTCAAATCTGAAAAGGACTTTGGGCTAAATCAGGCACTCTCTCCTGAGCACTGTGGACATTGGGCTGGGTCATTGTCTGTGTGGGGTTGTCCCTGGCACTGTGGGGTGTTGAGCAGCATCCCTGGCCCTACCTGCTTGATGCCAGAAGCACCCCAAGTTGTGACAGCCACAGATGTCCCCAGACAACACCCAGTGTCCCTGGGTTGAGGGGGTAGGATTTATCCCCATTGAGACCCTGTAGGCTAATGACAGCTGGGAGCGGACAGGCACAGAAAGGCTTTACACATGGGCACGTGAGTCACCTGAGATGTGGAGGGTCCAAACTGAAATGTACCGTGAGGGCAAAACCTCATACTACAGACTTCTCAAAAAAGAAAAAAAAAAAAAGAAACCACCATAGTAGTTTTTCATATTGATTACAAGGTGGTAGCGGTAATATCTGGGCTCTGTTGGGTTAAGTAAAACATACTATTAAGTTACCTTCACCTGTTTTTTTCCTGTTGGAACCACAGCTGCTAGAAAATTGAAATTGCAGAGACCCCTGCCTGGAATCGGACTACTGGTTCTGCAGCCCTTTTTTTCTAGTGATTTCCCCCCTCCCACCCGACCCTGGAACATTTGTTATGCTCACAGAAGAAAATGCAACCCATCCAGGGGTTGGGCTGAACCAGTCTGAGAATCCCACAGGATGAAGGTGGTAGGTGGTTGCTTAATAAATCAAGTATTTGGACATCGGCCCCATCACATCTAAGGAAGCCGAGCGATTACTTACTCCACGGGTCACCACTGGGCTGTTGCAGTGAGCTACTCACAGCTCCGAAGCACAAATGTCACAGAAAGGAACCGGGTGGGGACACAGGGGACGGCACACAGCCACGTAAATTGCTGCTGAGCTGCACTGTCTTGTATCGACAACACACTTGAGATTTTCTTCTTGCAAACCAAGCACCAAAAAACCCCCACCCAAAACAAATAAAGAAAAGAACACCCATCATGCAAGATTCTAAAGCTCACTGATTTGTCTCCTGTTTTTTTTTTGGACAGAGGTCAGACAGAGGGGCGCTGGGGGTCACAGGTGTTGCCTTCCCCGGCCATACCTTCCCCGACATGGTGGTTGTGTTATCTCCCAAACGTGGCCGTCCTGGGGTTTTTAAAAAACAGCAACGAGAAACCTCAACACATGTGTGCAAAACACTTGTTCCCTCCTAAGAACGTGGGCAGAGGTCTGACAGCCTCTGCCTGGACCCCCGCATGTCAGGAGGCCCAAAACCAAGGGCAGTCACGAATTCTATGACAGAGTGCACTCCCTTGCAACAGAGAACCTATAACCAACCATGTTGCTGGGATGGGGTGCAGGTCTCGTCTCTGGCCACCTTCAGCCAGGCAGTTGGGAGCAGTCAGGCCTGGACCATGAGAGCCGCAGTGACTTGGTATTGAATTGGAGGATGCCAAAACTTGAGGTTGTTCCCAGGGAAACAGGGGCGAGGGTGACACCTGGAAACAGCTGTCAGCAGTTCAGAAGCACTGGTGTGGGCCCGTTTCAAGGAGCCTGGTTTTGATGCGGAGCATGCGGAGAAAGAGCCAGCTCCTCTCTAGATCTTTTCAGATGTGCCAAGGGATCCTGGCAAAAGCAGCAGCACAGCATGCAGTGCAGATAGTGGCCTGTGTCGCTGAGGGTCGAGGGCCTTAGGAACAGCACCTAGGCCTCTCAATGCTCATGGAAGCAGCCACTTTCAAACTATCCCCCTCCAACCCCTACCAACCCTGAATTCCACTCCTAGCTCCTTTCCAACCCCCATCGATGTGGTCTATTACTCCTTGTAAATGGCAGCTGGTTCCACTGAATGGAAATCTGAGGTATATAGAACAGGCCCAAAGATGAGACCATCTGTGACCATCAGTGCCAGGCAGCCTCAGGCCAAGGCCGAATCATGGCTCACACATTAGGGCCCCTTTCCACCTTCTGAGGAAGGTCCTGAGGGAGCTGGGGTACTCACAAAGCAACACTTCCATAACTTTTAGTTATCTTTTTATTCTTTTCTAAATCAGGTGAGACTTTGGGGGAAACTATGAAGTGACAGAAACCTGGAAAGCTGGTTGAAAGGGCCACCAAGTCTTCTCTTTGGTGTCCACAGGAAAAACAACTTGGGAGACTATAAGGGTCTCCCTAAGAAAAGGGCCTAGCAGTTTCCAAGAGGCCACAAGCGCCCGCCTTCTGGAGCACCTCCTCCAGACACCCAGGGCCAGCTTGGACCGCACCAGGCCCGTCCCTCTCAGAGAGTCCTTTCCCCTGCGATGTGCCACAGATAAGTATCAGCTTGTTTCAAGCCATCAGGAAGTATTGAGGGGGGCGGCTGACGGCTTTAACATCTTCAGTTTGGAGGAGGGGAGCCTGGCCTCCCCCGCTTCCTACCGCCTGAGGACCCAGAACAGACCTCCATTGGAGCCCTGAGGCAGGAAGGCCGGCCACCCCTTCGGACTTGGGAACTAGGACAACCTCCCTGTCGCCGTTTCATTTACAACCGGCTGTGGACAAACAGGTCAAGGACCCAAAAGAGTGACATGCCCTCGGTGGTCACTCTTGGTTCGCTCTGCGTGAGCAGAGGTGACTGAGGGTGCCACCCACCCACATCTGCAGCTGAGGGGGAGCACAGGCCTTATCTACTGGATCGGCTGGGGGTTTCAACCACACCGACAGCTTGGAAACCCAACACTTCCTTTCCGCCGAGTCGAGTGTCAGTTCAGCTGCCACTACGGAAGACTTGAAGTGACTGCTCCTAAGGCACAGGAGAGGATCAGAACCCTTTTGGGGCAGGTCACACTCTGCTGAAGACAGGCAGGGTCGCCGGTACCAGGCTGCAGGACAGGAGGCAGCAGTGGCCAGGGAACTGGACCTCCTGACAACCAACCGGCTGATCGCTCTGAGGCTGCTGAGGGTCACTTTTAAGGGGGCAGGTGTCAGGCAAGGGAACCACACACAGAAACGCAAGGCAGCGCTTCCTGTTTTAGAGAGAGATGCCAATGTCTTGGGGTTCCCTCTGAGGCTTCGCCCCTTGCAAAGAGAGCGAAGCCAGTTCCTGATGCCACTCCCACCCCAATCTCCCTGAGGCCGGTTGGCTGGGGGCTAGGGCTGCCCTCAAGGGACACTCTTCTTCCTGGGGTTGGACCGGAGGCTGACACCCAAAGAACAAATGGAACAAGTACAATGGGCTTGGTTTCTTTTTCTTTCCCTGTTTTGTTTTTTTTTTTAAACCTAAGTAAGCAGGTTCTGAGAGACAACATGGGCAGTGTCACCCTTCCCCAGAGAGCAGAAGGCCCTCGGCTGCGACAGGTAGAAGAGGAAGTGAATGTTCCGCCGTGTGCGCGTGGTCTCCTCCGAGGCTCGGCGGGAGAGGGAGGGGAGGAGCCAGTCTGTCCTGGGCGGGAAGGGCAAGTAGAGAGGATTCAGACAGGCCACCAGCTGGACCCATCACACAGCGGTACGTGTAGGCGTGCTGGGCTGGTTCAGACGCAGTGTTTTACACAACCAGCCAGCAAAATCCACTTCTTCCACCTCGGACCGTTTGATGAAGCCATGGTTCTGAAAGGGAAGAAGAGGCGCTGTGAATATCCTGGTGTCTGCAGGGAGGAGGAAGGGCCGAGGCTTCTGCTTAGACCCGGCAGGCCATCCGAGGCTAAAACCCAAAAACTGAAAGAGAAGGGGCCCCCAGCGCAGGAGGACACATCCGGGACAGGAAGAGAAAGCAAGCCCAGAGCAGCCAAGTGCCAGGCCCGAGGCCACACGGATGTAGGATGGGGTCTTGGGAGAGAGCGAGGCTGCTCCAACTCCCTGGAACCCAGGTCTCTGCCTCAGTGCTGCGGACCCTGGGGCCAGTTAATCCCTGTGGGGGCTGTCCTGGGTGCTCTGAAGTGGTGACCCAGCATGTCTGGCCTCCACCCATTCAATGACAGGAGTACCCCTAGTCGTGACCACCACAGATGCCAACAGACATGATTTAGTGTCCCCTGCAGGCAGTCGCTCCATGAGACCATAGGATCTGGAACGTAACCGCCTGTGAGGATAGGGAGTTCCTTAAACTCCCATCCAGTATGGTTGCCACCGGCCACAAGAGGCTTCTGGGCCCTTTAAAAATGGCTTGTGGGGCTGAAGGACAGGTTTGTGCATCCATTTTGTTTGAAGTAATTTAATTTAGATAGCCACCCATGGCTGCGGGTGCTAGCAGGAAAAGCAGGACACTAGAGCTTCCTGGTTCTGGACTGGGTAGGGGGAGCAGATGCTTTTCTGACCAGGGCGTGCCTGGAGGGGCAGCCCAGGGCAGGCGGGCAGAGCCTCGAAGTCCAAGGAGGGGTCTAGTCTACCCATGTGACATCAAGACCCCAACTGCTGCATGTATTTTTAAAAATCCTCACCTGAGGATATGTTTTTATTGGTTTTTAGAGAGGAAGGGAAAGAGGGAGGGAGGGAGGGAAGGCGGGAGGGTGGGTGGGTGGGTGAGTGAGAGAGAGAGAAACATTGATGAACTATTTCCCATACATGTCCTGACCAGGGATAGAACCTACAACCTAGGTATGCACCCTGACTGGGAATCAAACCTACAACCTTTGGGTGTACGGGATGATGCTCCAACCAGCTGAGGCACCTGGCCAGGGCCCCAGCTGCCACCTCTTACGTAAGCTGGAGGCAGGCGAGACCACCCTCATCTTCCTGAAGGTTGATCCAGGCTTGGGTAAAAAGCCAAAGAAAGGAACAGAATTCCTGTGGTCTAGGCAACAGGAGGAGTGGGTGCAAAGTTAGCCCCAGAAGATAGTTTTCCTCAGGCAGAGAGAGATCTGGAAGGTTTTCCCGCACAGTGTGAATGAGGGAGCTGGGGAGGAGGAAGCACTGAGCACTATAGGGGATTTCAACATAACTGCATTTCTCTATTTCAGGTTTGTGTCTTTCACAGCGGACATGTGTTTCTTATATCATGCATACCCTTCCTACACGGTGGTCCTGGTTAGGCTTCCTATTCTGACCACAGCAAACAGTGACTACACCCAGGACACAGCCTGCTGCCACAACTAACGGCAGGGTGGGATCAGACAAGGTGCTGGACTTTCTCAGAGGAGGCGCAGAAGGCAAGCCTGAACAGGACGCACCATCTAGTGGGGAGAACCATCCTGAACAAAGGTCCTGAGGGGAAGGTGAGTTTCAGTGGCCACCTTGGATTTCAAAGACATTGAACAGTGTGGAACATGAAAGGAAGGCACCAACTCTATGACCTCCCTGACCTGCAGGGGACTTGACAAGCCCAAGATGGGAGTGGACCAGAAGACTCAGAGCCCGCCGTTCTCCAGAAACAATCCCACCCAGGCACGGCTGCGGTCCTTATGTGCCCTAAGAGCTGAGAGGGCAGAGGCCGCTCTGGATCATTCCCACTACGGACTAGGAGGCGCACAGGGGTTCTCCTGTGCCCCATGACAAAGCTGGGTCAGGAGGCCTGGCCAGGGTCTTCCTTTCCTGAGCAAGAAGGAGCCGTGGGTGGCAGCCTGCGCCCCCGACGATCCCAGAATCCGCAGCATCACTCACCATGAGCATCTTCAGATCGGCTCGCTCAGCTGGGTTCTTAATGAGGCTGGGGTTCCGTGAGGTGGGGCAACAAGACAGAGCATGGGGAGATAAGACAGGGCAGTTATTTGGTGACCATGGGGACTTGCTGTCACTCTGATGCCTAGAACCCAGGGATGAGGACTCCAGCACTGCCCTGTGGTGTAAGGGCAGGACGCCTCGGGGAGGGAAGGGCAAGGGTCTGAGACCAGGACAAGAGGGAAAGAGGGGGAAGGCGGGGAAACCCCCAGTTGCTGCTAAGTCAGAGGCCCAGCAGCAAACAGCTCCATTTCCAGTAAACCCCCAAGTTTGGGAGTCTGATCGTCAAAATGGAACTTTTTCCTCCAAAAAAGCAGAACTGCCTAAACGCAGCTGTTCAAAGCAGCTTGAGGCGAATGGCAGTTCTTTAAACACAGAGAAAACCTTGCCTGGACATAAAAATGTTCACACGGATAATGGATAGCTGGATCTGGGCTGCACAGCATTGGCCAGAAGTCACACAAAAGGCCATTGACACCTTCACCACCAAGCAGGTTCGCTGCTGTGAGTCACGGTCTCCAGGCTGCAGCCAACCCTGACATGCAAGATGGCCCTAAAGGCGAGTGGAGTGGCCCCGGCCCTCCTTCAGAGGGCAGGATCATCCAGAACAGCTGACCACCTCCCAGAATCCAGCTAGAAAGGCTTGTTTAGGAGCTGGTGGTCGGAGGACCCGAGGGCTCAGGGGAGTCTACTGGCAGAAGGCAAGGCGGGCACAGCTTTATTTCCCAAGTGCCTGGGACGCAGGTTCACTTGGGTTTGAGGGATGAGTTGGGGATGGCAGCTGAACACTGTGACTTAACAGTCTCAGAAAGGGAATCTGGGCTCTCAGGTGACCACAGGTATCCACCGGATGCTGCTGGCCACCCAGCATTCCTGAGTGGCAGGCTTGGAAGAGGGGCCTGGGCCACGGCCAGTAAGGGAGGGCACGCCTTGGCTGTTGGCTGGGAGTGTTGGTGGCCCGCCCACTCCGGGAGGCAGGTGGGCCTTCTGAGGGCCTGGCACCTAGCCCTGCCCACTCAGGACTGCACTGGACACTGTGGCACCTTACCATTTATTCACAAACTCCTGGAAGTCCTGGGTGAAGACACCACTGGGCAGCTTAGGAGGCGGCTGTGGGAGAGAACAGACAGGTGGGAGTAAGGTGCTCACGGATGGCTCTGGAGTTACAGCACAGACATGTGAGGACAGCATGGTATTTGGGGACCCTCAGGACGCACTTCTCTTGGCACTGTCCCTTTACCCTGCTAGAGGAGGAGGGGGCACCCCTCCCCTCTCCCAGCAGCTTCCTGGCAGGATCTGCCACCAGCTCTGCCAACTGGGGTGGGCTCTTCCAGGGTTTTCTTTTGAAAGCTCTCATTTGGGGATCACACTGGTTCTACAGGGAAGGAGAGCAGGGCTCACCCTCATTTTATGGACAAGGGTGGTGTCACACTGTCTGAGCCACCCACCTCTGTGGGCGTCTTTTTTTAAATCCTCACCAAGAACGTTTTTTCACTTCTAGAGTGAAAAAGGGGGTGGGCAGAAAGGGGTCGGGGGAGACAGCGACATTGATGCGAGAAAAGAACGTGAATCGGTCGCCTTCTTAGACGCTCCCTGAAGAGGGAATCGAACCCTCAACCCGGGCATGTGCCCTGAGAATTGAACCCGTGACATTTTGGTCTACACGATGACACTCCAACTAAATGAGCCGCACTGGCCAGGGCCTGTGGGTGTCTTGAATGACATGTGGGCCTGGACCACAGAGGACAGCTAGTTCCAGGGCTTTGGGCCCGAAATCTGGGTGAGCCTATGGAGCCTGGCCTGGCGCCATGTTCGGGGGCGGCGGGGGGACAGTCATGGGCAGCATCAGGCCCCTGTCAGAGAGGTGGGAGGCAGAGACTGTCTGAGGGAAACCCACAGGCCCTCCTCCTCAACTCCGTCCACCTCCCCAGTCCTAGGACACAGCCTTCCCACTCAGGGCAGGAGGTGCTCGCGGGGTGGCACTGTCAGACACAGGCAGAGCAGTTCCCCTGTTCTGTCTCCACTGACGGCTCACCTTGATACTCAGCCCTAGGCCAAGCCCCACACCATAGGCAGCCCGGCTGCCCTGTTTCTCTGCCCTGACTCAAAGGGCCACTGAAAACACGTGTCAGCCCAGAGGCCCAAGGAAGGTGACCAGACCTTGCTAAGGAGGCTTCAGGGTCAGGTCCTGCTCTACCCCTTCCCAGCTGCAGACCTCTAAGGGGGCTGCTTCCATCCTTATGCCACTGTTTACCCATCTGTACCATGGGAATAGTCACACCACCACTCAGGTGCTCTGTGCCTCCTTTCTGAAGAGGACACCCCAACTTTCCCCAAGGAAGTGGGACTATTTGACTTCATGCGCACTGACTCCAAGATGCTCAGAGAAAGAGATGCTGGGTGCCAGTGCTCTGGGCGAGGCCCAGCTCCTTCACTACTGGCCTTGGAGGGGCTGCAGTAGAAATTCTAGGTTCATCTCTACAAACACAAAGACAAGTCCCTTGGGGAGGGGCGGATTTCTGCAGTACAGCCAGAAGTGAGGCCATTTGTTTTTACACCTGATAACCTCCTATTGAAAAGAATGGTCTCCATCTCTCCCCATTCCACCCTCCCCAACAAAATCCAGTCTATGTGTTGAGTTCTCTTCTTTTTGGTAATGCACTCCTACGGGAATAGCTTAACTCTGTCTGCGTGAAGACATGCTTTCAGGTACCCACCTCGTTCACAATATAGTCCAGCAGTTCGAAGATGGCCATGGCTGGCCGGCTGTCCACCCCGTGACCTGCCCAGGGGAGAAACAAACACGGGGGTGAGATGGGCGAGCTGCCAGCATGTTTCTGCGGGGCATCAAGGTTGGAGTGTGCTGGATAAGCTGGGCACTCTTCTGCCCACACTGGCCTGAACTGAGGGAGGCTCCCGTGGCCTGGCCACTAAGTTCACTTTTTGGGAAAGGAACTTCACTGCTAATGAATTAAAAAAACAAAAAGAAACACCAAAATGAACAGGAGCATTTTCTGAGAAGTCACACATTTGGCACGGTGCTGCGACCAGGTGGTGCCAATGTCACAGCCCTTTGCTTAGTGGCACACAGGCGCAGCGTGGGGTGGTGGTGGTCTGCTGACTGCAAGCAAGGAGAGCAGCGTGACCTTGTATGGAGTTTCAGGTAGAGACAGTAGTAGGCACCAAATGCAGCTCAGGATGGGTGGTGGGCAGGTGGTGGCTGACCTGTCCTAGACTCAGCTGGCCATGTCTGGGTTTGGCATTTGGACTTTCGCCTTCTCTCCTGTCCCGAAATGGGTATGAGGGCTGGGGCAGGGGCTGGAGGAGATGCTGGCAGGCCAAGGTAGCCTAGCATGACCCACCATTCCTCTCAGCTGGGAAGGGACTGGAGGAGAACACCAAGGAGGCCACTCGGGAGTTAGACTAGAAGGCACAGGAGCAAGGCCTAAGGACACCGAGGGGGGCATGATTCTCCCCATAGAGGAAATCAAGACACCCTAGCAGTCTGAGTGAAGCCCCAGTAAAGGGGAAGGCCTGGATTTGAAAACACAGTGAAAATCATCATCCAACAGCCTAAGTGTCCCTTAGTGGTGAACAGATACACAAAATGTGGTCCATCCATACAGGGGAATCTTATTCGGCCATAAAAAGGAGTGAAGCACTGACACTTGCTACAAGATGGGTGAACCCTGAAAACATGATGCTCACACTGACTGATGTGGCTGGCTCAGTGGATCGAGCGCTGGCTTGCAAAACTGAAAGGTCGCTGGTTCAATTCCCAGTGAGGACAAGAAGCATCCAATTGATGTCCCTCCCTTTCTTTCTCCCTCCCTTCCCCATCTCTAAAAATAAATAAATAAAATCTTAAAAAAAAAAAAACGGGGGGGGGGGGGAGAAAACACGATGCTCAGTGAGAGAAGCCAGACACAAAGGCCACACAGTGTGTGATTCCATTTATGTGAAATGTCCAGGACAGGCAAACTCAGAGACAAAGAAGTAGACTTATGAGTGCTAGGGCTGGAGAGGGGGTGGGGATAAGGTTTCCTTTTGAGGTGATGGAATCTTCTGGAATTAGATAGAGGTGATAAATGGATAACCTTGTGAGGATATCAAAATCCACTGAATTATATGCTTGAAAAGAGTGAATCATAAGGCACTTGAATTCTATCGCAATAAAACTGTTAAGAAACCAACTGACCACAGTCCATCGTATGTTCTCTTAGACTCTCATTTAACTAGACTCCCTTCCTGTCAAGCACTGTCCCCAGGTTACCACCTCATCTGCGACCCTTCCCCTTGTCCACCACATGAAGTGGTAGAAGTATCAGTCTGAACCTCTTAACCTACCACCTCATAGGTGGCCACTCTTAGTATCAAGAGTTGTCTGGGAGCCCAGTGCCTGTCCAGCTTCCTGTCCCCTCCCATGCTGTGCTGCCTGTGTGTCCAACAAACCATTCAAGGAAATTCAGAGTCAAGGTCCTTTCAATTTTGGGTTTCCCAGGAAGGCCTGGCCCAAACACAGAACATTCAAGGAAGTGGCTAGGCAGTGGGCATATAGGCATTCATTGGGCAAGCTTTTTGGCTTTTCTGTATACTTGGATATTTTCATGATAAAATGCTAGAAAAACCACCCCAACCAGTGGCCTGGCTGGGGGGTTGGTTTCTAGATCCCACCAGCTAATGACAACAGGTGCAGCTGTCCCGGATGGCACAGGTCAGGGGCACTGCTTCCAGCATGTCCCTAGAAGCTTTAGGACAATCTAAGGACTGCTGACGGCACTTAGCACAACCCAAGGGACAGGTGGTGCTAAGAGGGGAGGCAGCTGCCATCATCCGACATGGCATTTCCTGCACAGGTCACTGCCCATCCAAACTGGAAGTGCCAGACTCAGGCCATACCACTGATGGGGCGTCCAGGGGGTCTTGGCCGCGGTGAGATGCTGTGAGGCTCTCCTTCTGCCCCATCGACCACGGGCCGGCCAAATATGGCCTCCAGCTCCTTGGCATCCGGCGGGGGGATGGGGTACCTTCCGATGGACAACTCTACCAGGGACAGGCCCATGCTCCAGATGTCCGACTGCACCGAGTAGTGAGTGCCTTGCAACCGCTCTGGCTGTCGGGTGAGACAGAGAGGAAAGAAGGGTCCAGAGGGAGACAGATGAACGCTGGAACCTGGGGCGGCTCACTGGATCAGGGGTGGCACCTGAGTGTTTCTCTACTCTTCCCACACAGCCCCATCCTGACCTCTACCACCCCTCTGGAGACCGGGGTGATTCTGTCTCCTCCCTCCATCTACCTCGGCAGAGAGAAGCTTCCAGCCAGGGCTGACAGCAGCTCTTTAAAAACCCAAACAAATCCTTGGCACTTTTGGGAAAAAATGACTGGCCCAAAAAAGACAGCAGAATACCTCCTTCTTCACAGCAACTCCAAGTCTAAATTCTCAGAATTTGCTCCAATTATCACCCAGATGTGCCCTAAAATACCTGAGGGCTAGTTTCTTGGATCAGAAATTGACTACTCTCCTTGACTGGATTTTTATTACCAGTGGGAAGGAACCAGGCAGGCATTCCCACAGACAGACCTGAGCGAGAACATGGTGGAAATTAGAATTTTGGAGAGAAGAAATCCAGCAAAAAGAAAGTATGTTAAGAGGACATGCAGGCTTTTGGAAAAGCTTCTAGGAAAATGGGGAAGAGCCAATGGGAGAGGGGGGAAGATATGGCATGTGATGTTAAAATGTCTTTCAAAGGACTTACAGACATGTAGGATCGAGTTCCCACGAAGGAGTTAGCCATGGAGTCAATGAGCTGCCCGCTCACCCCAAAATCACACAGCTTGATCTCCCCTCTGGAGTTGACGAGGATGTTAGACGGTTTCACATCTGAGAGCAGAGCCAGCGGGTGAGGCATGGCTTAGGCCCACCCACTGGCCCCGGGGGCCCAGGAGGGGCTCCTGTGCATCTTACCTCGGTGCATGATCTGGTGCTTTTCCCGGAGATATGCCAGGCCCCGAAGAACCTGCCAGGGAGCCACAGGGTGGGAGGTCAGCAGGGCAAGCACCATGTGGGGAATCACCCCTGGACAGGCCTGCGGGCTAGACCCGAGTGGCAACCAGTGTGGGACCAGCTCAGGGAACCCGTTTTCAGGTGGGGACAAGCAAGAGAAGAGGCAAAGCGATGGCAGTGCCACCCTGCACTGGTGGGTACAGATTCCTTCCTCACTGATTCTTACATGACCGCCCTCCTACCCATCTAGCCATGAGGCAGACACTGCCATCCCCTCTGTCTAAGGGGAGGGGCTGAGGCCCATGGAAGCTGAGACAGGCCTGAGGCACTGTTAGTACGGCTCTTAGTGTCCGGCTGGCTGCCCTGCCTCAGACGTCAGACCCACCCGATACGCGTCATCTGTTGAGTGCTTTGGTGCCAGGGCTGTACTGAGGACGTTCCTCAGACTGGTAAAGGGTGTGGTGGCTTTGTCACCAAGTCAGAGAGGAAACACTCATGCTGTTGCTCTGGAGGACGCTGTGTGCCTGGGACCCTGCCGCCAGGGTCCTGTGCAACCCTGGCACCTATACGGGGCAGGAAAGTATTACTCCTATTTTGTGGGCAAAAGGATGCCCCTACTTGGTACTATAGCCAGTGGAAACTGGCATCAGCACTCTTCCTCTTTGCGGGAGCTGAGGTGACACGCACCCCTGGCCTCGTGCACAGGGGCCTAGCACGGGGCTGGGAGCGCATGCACACCCCCAGTGCTGTGACGGCCAGGGGAGTGGCGCCTGCACACTCACCGCGATGCTGACCTTCCCCAGGATCTCTTCTGGAATTCTCTTGGCTTCTTTCAGCACCTGGTCCAGAGAGCCACCGTCCTGGGGGCGGTACAGGAGAGAGAAAGCAAGTGCTTTGAGCAGGCGGCCGGCGGGGGGGGGGGGATGGCGGGGGGGGGGGGGGTGCTGCTGCAGAGATGAATCCCAGAGGAACGCTCAAGTGACAGGTAAAAAGATGCAGCATTTCCCTGGTTCTCAGAGAGCTGATGCCTGATTTTCTCCATGGGAAACAGAGGCCAGGCCACAGCTAAAGGCAACCCTTGGCCTCAGGACAGCACATCTAGTGCAGAAGTGGAAAGAGTACCTGTGTGCTCCTTGTGACTCAGCCTTCCTGAGGTTGCTACAACAGCAGCAGACCCAGCAGCCAGGCTTGCAACTGAAACCACCTCAAGGGCGTATGAGATAGACCTGTCTACTTCTGGGCCTGGGTTCTTGTCACAGCCCCAAGTGGGTGAGGGACTGAGAGCAAAGGTGATACCTGTATGTGCCCATCACAGGAGAAAGGCAGCCAAGGAGACTGGCCTTTCTCGCGCCACACCTCCCTGCCTAGTTAGGATGGGACCTGCTGCCTCAGGGGCACAGAGGACACCTGGCGATGACAGTTCTGCCCCTTTCCTTAGGTCTTGTCCTGTGCTTGCCACTATCATGCATGGGATTGTCCTGTAAAGGACCTGACACAGGTCATCCTAGTTGATCCTCCCCACCCCACCCAGGGCGTAGCCCCTAATCCACCTGACAATGAGGAAATAACAGAAATCAAGTGTCTTGTGCAAGGCTGCCTGGCAACAAATCTGGAGACCAAAACTCAGGGTGTTGCTGGCTCTGGCTGGATGCCTATTCAGAGGTGGGGCTCTGAGGATAAGCCTGCCAGGCCCCCCAGGACTTTAGGTGGACATGGCCAAGCTCCAGCCACGGGCCGGCGCCTGTCTTGTTCTCCTCTGCACTCGAGAGGAAAGTGGAACTGGAGCTCAGGGGTTAAGTGAGGCCATAACTTGAACTGGCAGAAAGGTGGCCCCAGAGCCTGCATTTCCTCCACTGTGCTGCTCTAGGAGTCCCACAGGTGCCACTTCCTTGCAACACCTCCTGCTTCACCTGGGGGCAGGGAGAAGCCTCTGAGAGGCCCAGGTCTCCCCTCTCTGGCACTCCAGCTGTGCTCGTGGTGGAGAGTTCCAGAAAACCCAATGCACTTTGAAGCTTCAAGAATGTGTGTGATTCTGTCAACAAGGGACCCAAATTTGCAGAGGGTGGGTGTGGCCAAGGAGGAACCCAGGAAGGTGAGCCTCATCTGACCAGGGTGCCCGGCCCGCTTCGCTCTACCTGCAGGGCGAGATGGAAATTCCTTCTATTCTTCTCATTTCTTGTTTTATCAATCAACCTTAAAAGAATTAAAAGAAATTTTTAAACTGTAATCCCTGTTCCTTAACACAGGTCCTTTCATTCTGAATTTTCATAGAGGTACGTTCTGTTCGCCGAATAAGGACTTTCAGGGAGAACATCTTCAGAGAGGCTACGGTGGGCCAGGCACCATGCTGGGGGCTCAGGAGTTAACACAAGACACCTCCGTGAAGGAAACCACGGCTCACTCTACAGGGCCCCCCCGCCACCGGCACTGGGAACACTGGGGCCAGGCCATCATCTGTAGGGGCCGTCCTGGGTACTGTGGGGTGTTGAACAGCATCCCTGACCTCCATCAGGATCTCCCTAGTTGTGACAATGTCCCCAGACATTGCCTAATGTCTCCTGAGACCCCCTGGTCTACAGCTAAGAGGATAACTCGTTTGTCACATGCACAGGATGTGGTGCAGCAGATGTCACAACTAGGTCTTTTTGACCCCAAATCTATCTTTATGCATGACCATACAGTTTCATTTTGTGTGTGTTTTAAATGTTCTCAAAATCTTACTTTTATTAATCAGGTAGTATATGAATACATATTTTCATAAAAATTTAAATGTAGTTAACAGTCTGATTCCCACAGTGATTCCACTTGCCTCCCCCAAAGTATGACTTACAGTCTTCCAGATCCTTCCGCACATTTGCACACACATTCACGTGCACAGGGAAATACAGAGTTTTAAAAATATATATATATACACACATATATAAGTGGGTTCATATCATGCATTTTTTCCTTGTTGGGGATTTTCTAATTTGGCTCACACAAGCTGACTTTTGTTTCTCACTGCAGAGCGGCCTGGCGGCATTCCGTCCGTCCCTTACCTGACGATGTGTTAGATTTTTCATTATTACAGGAAGAGGGGGTGCATCCTTCAGTGAGTTTGACTAGAGCCTCTGAGTGGTCAGTAAGCAGCTCCCCAGCTCCTCCGCCCCGAGATACCCACTGTCCCCTGGGTCCATGCCTCAGTTTCCGCCATAATAGGCTTAGGCCACCCGGAAACTGCCAGCCCCACTGTCCGCAAGCCCCGAAGGCCAATACACCCTGGCTAGATGAGGCACAGCCTTCTCTGCTTAATCTGGGGCTTTATTATCAATTAGGGATCTTTTCTCAAAAGTTGCAGCTGGAACCTTCCCAAGGATAAATCAGAGCCAACTCCTACACGAGCCTGCATGCAGATGAAACCTTGCCCCCCATCAGGGACGGTTCCACAATGTGGGATACTGATTAGGTGGAATGTCACCATGGTGAAGAAAAGAGCAGTGAAAGTGAGAAAGAAATACAGAAAAATGGCTCCAGTGACAGTGGTGATATTTATTCAGCGTCCAGTCTGGCCTGGGCCAGGGGACTACCACCACCCTTGGCCTGACGGGCGAGAAGGGGTGAGAATCGCATCCAGAGTCACGCGCTGAGAGGTGGGCAGGGAGGTTCAGGCCTGACCCCGCGGCACCATCTTCACCGCCATGCAGGTGCCCCCACAATATGGCACATGAACAGATGAAGAAGAAACGTCCCACAAACAGGGAAAACCTATGCACACGTGGATCAATTCTGGAGGGGCTTATTCGACATGAAAATACTATAAGGAGTGGAGACAGCGAAGGCCCTTTGTCGACTGTCATTTGTTATCTTCATGCCTTCCTCACCAAGTTCCCCTCTTTAAGCTCATTGCAACCTTGAAAATCAGTGACCTCCAAGTTTCGTGGAGTGTAACTCCTATCAGGAGAAAGCAGGGGAGAGCACAGGCCTCAGCTTAGCATGTTTTTTCATTGAGGCATTATATATTTGTTCTACTTGCCTGGTATGCTCGTTATAAAAGTGAACCAAAAAATCCAACTAGGAACTTTTAAAGGATGAGCACGATAAATCAACAGGATAGCTAGGACTCGCCCTCTGCCTCCTGGTGGCTCGGGCTGTGTGCTGCTGAGGTGCAGACACCTAGTACTGGAAACTGATATTTTACATTCAAGGAGAACAGAAGGGGGAGCAGAGGGGTGCCAGACTGTGCCACTCTTTTAAACAAGGGAACAAGATGCCTTCAAATTCTCATGATGTTCAGGGAGTATAAGCAGGGGTGGCCAAGAGCACTGGAGAGGGAAAAGACAGGAGGGAAGAGAGAAGAGGAAGGGGAGAAGGGAGACCAGGGAGGGGGGAGGGAGGAGGAGGAGCTACAGTACAGAGCCTCCCCTCAGACCACAGAGTGACTTCCGTCCTTTCCCCTACTTGATTCTCCTCTACACAGTGACTTTGCCCTGCAGGCGGGAAGATATGATCTCCCTCTCCCAGGTGAGGAATGGGGCTCCTGCAGGCCTGGGGGGGATCTCCAGGCTGGGTAGGGGCAAAGCAGGAGGGCGGGGAGCACCTTCTAGCAGGCACTCCCTCCCAGCTGTTTGCCGTTATTCCCTGAAGCCTGCTCACAATGCATTCCTTGCAGGCACTTGCTGAAATTTGTTTCCTGCCTTCATTACAAAACTGTCATGGGCAGCACATTTGCAAGGTATAACTGAAGCTGTCACTGAAGCTGTGGTGCCTAAAGCCATGCTGCATCCTGGTTTTGCAAGGGCTCTGCCAGGCTGGAGCCCATTGTCCAGCCATGGAGCAAGCAGTCTGGTACCTGATCAACTGGACTCTGCAGAGGATCAGAAGCATTTCCCCTCAAGGCATTCAGCTCTGACCACTTCTGCTTTTGTTGTACCCAATCCCACCCATTTTTGAGCTTCAAGACCAGAGTTTCTTAACCAGGGGGTGCAGCTGACTCCACTGTGGTGGTTTAAAAAAAGATAGGTGCCTATGCTCCACCCCAGAGCTTCTAATTCCACAGATCTGAACGAGGTGCAGATCCAGGCCCTATCTTTAAAACAGCTCCTTGGCTCTGGCTGGGTATCTCAGTCGGTTAAAGTGTCGTCCAGATATACCATTGGTTGCAGTTTGATCGCCACTCAGGGCACATATGAGAAGAAACCTATGAATACATAAATAAGTGGAGCAACAAATTGATGTCTCCACCTCTCTTTCCCCTTGTCTAAAAACAAAACAAAACAAAACAAAACACTCAGCTCCCAAACAGCTCTACACGTACTCTTTAGAAGGCACTTTGGAGACACTGACCAAATTTTCAATAGCATGTATCCTTTGGCCCTGCAATTCCACTGGTAGAACTTTATCCCTCAGGGATGCCTGCTTCTGTGCAAGAACATTTGGAGCAGCATCATTCAAAGCGGGGCAGAGACTTCAGTGTCCACCAATAAGCGTTTAATAAATTACCTTGCAGGTATATACGAGTACCAGGACACTAGACAGTAGGGCAAAGAGCTGGCAGGCTCTCTACATGCTGACAAGAGATGATTTGCACCTTGTATCCAATGAAAGAGAAAAGCTGGAAGGAGGGTGTCTGGGGTTTAAAAACAAAGGAACCTATACATGTATGTTCATACGCCATTGACTATCTCCAGGAGGATTGCTTTGGAAAGAGGTGCGCTGTGGTCTCTGAGGACAGGACCCTTAGGGACACAGGCAACCTTCTCATTCTTCACGAACCTTTTATCCTGTCACGTCTCCCTGGTTGTAAGCCCAGATGGCTCTGGGGACACTGGCTGGGCCCCTGAGTCCAGAGTGCCCTTTTGCACTCACCATGTGCTCCATGCAGATGCTGATCTCCCCGTCACTGTAGAAGGCCCCATAGAAGCCCACGATGTACGGGGAGTTACACTCGTGCAGCACCTGTAGCTCACGGATGATCTGGTTCCGGATGGCCGGCTTGATCTCCAGGTGAATCAGCTGCAAGGGAATGGGGAAGCAGGTTCAGGAGCAGGCTGCTGAGGGACATCAGGAAGGGAGAGGGGGGACTTTGGCCCTCTGCCCTTGTGATGCTCATAATCGCATTAAAGACCAATCAACAATCCATTTATAGGTATCTATCTATCTACCTGGGAGAACTGAAAACACACATCCATGCACACACCTGTACATGTGTTCACAGCTGGGTGATTCACAATTGCTAACATATGGAAGCAACCCAGGTGTCCATCAACTGGTGAATGGACAAACAAAATGTGGCCCATCCACACACTGGAATATCACTCAACCATGAAAAGAAGCGAAGCACTGACACTTGCTACAACGTGGATGAACCTTGAAAACACTATGCTCAGTGAGAGACGCCAGGCACAAAAGACCACAGAGTGTGTGATTCCATTTATGTGTAATGTCCAGAACAGGCAGATCCAGACACAGGAAGTGGATTTATGGTTGCCGGAGGCTGGGGCTTCTTTTGGGGGTGATGAAAATGTTCTAAAATTGGTGGTAGTGATGGATGCACAATGCTGTGAGTATAGTGAAAAATACTGAATTATATACTCAAAAAGGGTAAATTATCCAGTAAGTGAATTAGATCTCAATAAAGCTGTTAAAAAAAGAAACAAACCCATCAACAGAGCAAACATTTTTCGACTGGTTACAAGGGAAGCTCTGTTCAGAGGAGCTTTCTTCCCACCAAATCATATGAAGGGCTGGCCTTCCCAGGACCCAGCCCAGGGAATGGTATGGAGGTGATTTCTTCACTTCTGCTCAGGCCCTCATTCAGATGTGGTTTCTCTGGGGCCCTTCCCACCTCCAGGCTAGAGAAGAAGGCAGGGAGAGCCTCTGGTCACCCCCCAAAGGATCCTAGCTGCCCTTCCACTTGAGTTCAAGCCGGCAGCCAGGATTGTCACCAAATTCGTTACATCTCAAAAGGCGAGAAATCAAAAGACCATCTGGAGACACGCAGAAAAGACTGCAGACGAAATACCAAGAGGAATGCTTAACTACAAACCCTAAGCAAGCCAAGATCCACTGCCCAGCAAAATAGTGAAGGTTGTGGGTCCAGGTCCTGGCTACTTAGAATCCTAGATGTATTGGTCATTATGATAAGAAAAAGGTGTGATTTATACCCTTTTGTCAGAAAGGCAGAGCCAGATCACATGCATCTCAAAATGACTGCCATCAACTCAACAGACATTTACAAAGAGTTGGTTACAACGGTCAGTGATGAGCAGAAAGATGGCAAAGATGACCCTGCTCAGAGACATGCCATCAGGAGGTGAGAGAAGAGAGCGAAACAACCCACTATGGTGGAGGTGCCTGAATGGAGGAATCATGGAGAAGTGATCTGGGACTCAGGTGACACTGGGGCTAGCGTTCCAGAAAGAGGGACAAAGAGTTGGCTGTTTGAGGGCACCAAGGCACAAAGAGGTGTGTACCAAGTTCGGCGGGGGGGGGCACAGGTTATGTGTGGGGAGCTCTCCCTGCTCATAGACCCATGACAATGACCCTTCCAACCTTGAGAACTGTGACAGGTCCTAGCAGCACGGTGCCTGGTGACCCGGCCATGCCCGAAAGTGCCTCCTAGGCTGGGGCCCTCAGGCGCTCAGGGCCACTTGGGCGCTTTCCCACCCCACCTAGCCCGCAGAGGCCAGCGCCGGCTATGCTCCCTGGGACACTGCACACCCCCATGGCCACCCCCAGGGCAGCAATCGCGCCAGAACTCCGGTATGCTCTCTCCTTCGGTGGGGCTGCATCTGCGAGATACCCGACATGCATACACATACATGCTTTGAAAAGGTGAGATGCTGGACCTGAAAAATGAAGCTCTGATGTTTGCGTGGAAGGTGGGAGGCTGATGGATGGGCAGTGCAGGGTGACAGAGACCTGTGCTGTCCAACAGAAATACTCCATGAGCCACAGATGTAATTTAAAAATCCTTTAGTTGCCATATTAATAAAGTAAAAAGGAGGTGAAATGAAGTTTTCATGTCTTTTGTTTAACTCAATGCAACATATCAAAAAATTATTGACATTTAGTCAACATAAACATATTAATGAGTTTCTTCCCCCCCATATAGAGACCTTGAAATCTTGTGGGGGGGGTGTGTGTGTGTGTGTGTGTTTGTTTGTTTGTTTCACACATATAGAATGGCTTGATTCAAATAACACTGTAGGGGCTTAGTAGCTGTATCAGACCAAGGGTGTTCTTGACCAAGAACTTGGAAGGAACCATAGATGAAACAATAACAAGGGAGCAAGAGTCCACCATGTTTTTAGAGGAGAAGAGGAAGCGGGGGACGAAACTGGGCAGGACTGGACAGGATCCCAGAGGTCCTGGAAGCCTGGACTTGGGTGAATGTGAAATAAGGCCCCAGGAAGTGAGGGGATTTTGGCAAAGATGTTGTAAAGAGGGAACATAGGGGCTATTGCTGTGTTATCTATTTAAATGAGTCCATCATATCTGGGGCCTATAAAGCAAAATGTCTGGATTTAACAGAAGCCACCCAAGAGTGTGCAAAGAAAGAGTAGGAACAGGAAGACAGGGGCACGTTTCTGAGCACATGTGCTCACAATTTGCCCTGATGATAACCCTGGGGGAGATGGGGTAACTGCCCACACTGCATGGATGAGCAAGTTCAGGTTCTGAGACAATGAATTTCGTTTCCAGGGACACACAGCTGCTGAGTGGTCAGGGCAGGATTGGGACTGAGCTCCCAGGTAGCCAGAGCCTATGCTCTTTCACAGCACCATTCCAGGGCCAAGCAAGCCCCAATTGCTGATTAAAGCAGAATGGTGCTGAGAGTTCAAGCCAAACACCACGCCCGTCTAGGAGTTTAAGGCAGTTTCTACTGCAGGATAGGGGATCTGAGCTAGGAACAGGAGTGGGGGGAACAAACCAGGGAGAGAGACGACGATTCTGGAGGCAAAGCCCTGATAGTTCCCACAGGGTCAGGGAAAGCCACAAAGGTTCAAACCCAATTCAGATAAGACCCAACCCAACCTCAGTTTTCTCACCTGTAAAATGAAGTGGTTGCTTGCTTGCTTGCTTATTTATTTATTTATTTAGGCTGCTTCATTTAAATGAGAACACGCGTCAAGGTTTTAGAGCTGGCTTTGACACAGGGCAATCACGTCAAAGACGGTAGCTAGTATTACTATGTGGCCTTGGGCAGGGTCACATGACCTTCATTATAGAAGCAAGAGCACATTCCTTTGCTCTAAGTGGAGGGCAGGGTGGTCAAGGGGGCCATGCCTGTGTAACAAACATGCAAAACTCTTTGAAGATCTCCCCGGGCCCATATCATCACAGAGGTTTTGTTCCTAGGGCCCTCAGAAAGATGTGTGAGATGGAGAGCCATGCTGAGTAAAGAAAACATTCATGAACAAACCTGACTGCAGAAATAGAGAGACCGGTTTTCTTAGTGCCTTACCGAACTGGTCTTGCTGCTTCCCCAGCTCGTCCTACTGGTTAGGACGATCCTTTGCCAATCACAGGGACCAGAGGGATGCTGGCCCACGGAGCGAGAGTCGCACAGGCGTCCGGGCGCCCCACCCTGCCTTCACCCTCACACCTGCGGGCAGGCTGCCTTTGGAGATCTGATAATCCTATGCACTCAGAATGCATGGAATTCATACCAGTCTTCCTGGGAAATTCAGAATTCCAACCAGGGTAGTAGAGGAATGACTAAGGCCACTGTTTCTCAAAACCCACCTTGTCTCGTCGGTTTTCCGTGTGCCCTGAGCTGAATAAAGGCAACAGGCCTCCCGAGTGGACTGGCATTCCAGATGGATTAAAAGGAGCCCCGGACCCCCACAGACCAGTCCAGGGCTCCTGGGCCATAGGGAGTTACAGCCCCAGACCACAAATTGCCTAGTCAGCCTTCTTGTTCAATGTATTTGCTAAATGCCTGCAAGCGCCCATGCTGTTCTGACACTGTGCTGGGAGGAGGAGATTAAGGTCTACGGGGAACAAAATCTGAGGTCCTGAGCCTTATTTTTTGGACCCTTAAAAAAACAAAAAACAAACAAAAAACCCCCTCGAAAACGTTTATTTTGAAAGAATTAAGGAAGTGCAGGAGAGTTGCAAAAACAGCACTGAGTTTCATGTGTTCTTCATCTAGCTTCCCCCAACCGGGACATCTTCTATGACTGAAGGACCAAACCAGGAAACTGACACTAGGACAGCACCACTAACCCCACTATAGAACTTATCTGTCCTCATTTTAAACTACTAAATTTTACTTTGCAGGCTTTCATAAAGCTATAGACAGACTCCCAGATTCACATTTATACCAGGCACAATGCGAACACCTGACAAACCTCAGCTGGGTTGAGAGAACCCCTGGGTCCCTGATACAAACTCTGACCAGTACTGTTCCCATGTCCCCCTCCCTGTCACAGTTGGAACCTCCCATCTGCCTTTTATTCCTGGTGCTTCAGGGATGGCAGGCCAGAGACTTCTGAGGCTGCTCTGGTTTTGAAAAGACTGCCTGCACTAAGGGGACAGAAATAGGTTCCAGAAGGGAGGGCAGTGCTCTAGAGGCAGGAGAAATAGCTACAGAGCTAAATCCCAATGGAAACCAAGCACATCATTCCCAGGAAAGGTGGCACCTGCACTGATCCACTGGGAACAGGGTGGTCAGGTTCTGAGAATACAATTTGGAAATGACAGGACAGTGGGCTTCCCCAGAAAGAGGTGGCTTTCTAAGTCTGAAAGAACATGATTGTATGAACTGAACAATTTATCAATATGAAGTCTCCTCCGTTATGTATTTATTTAGGATCCAGTGTCCCCAGAAGATTACACCCTCTTCTCCACTCCCTCCTTCTCCCAGGGGTTATTCCCCCATGTTTAGTGAGAAGCTACATTGGGCACAGGCACCCAGACGAGGGAGGATTGGGACTTCTCGGGGCCAAGGTTTGTACTAAAGAGTGGGGTGATGGTTAATTTAATGTGTCCCCAGTATCCAGCTGTCTGGTCAAACACAACTCTAGATGTCACTATGAAGGTATTCTTTTTTTTAGATGTGATTTAACATGGAAATCCTAAGAATTCAGGAAAAGCAGGTGACCCTCATAAGCGGGCAGCCTCCTCCAATCAGTTGAAGGCCCGAAGAGAAAAGACAGAGGTCGTTCTACCTCTAGGTGGCCTCTGGACTTGAGCTGCAACATCAACTCTTTCCTGGGTCTCCAGCCTGCTGGCCTGCCCTACAAATTTCAGACTTGCCATGACCGCACAAGCCAATTCCCTAATGTGCCTCTACCCCCACCCTCCACACCCTTGTGGTTCTGCTTATCTGCAGAACTCTGATTAATACAGGTGGTTTAGTTACCCCATTGCCCAGGGACCATCACAGCAAAGATCCTGTCCTGGGACTGTAGTGCTTTCTCCTGGTTGTGAAGTCAGGGTGATGCCAGCTCTAAGGGACTTGAATCTCCTCCCTTCTTCCCAAAAACTCTGCTCCCTTTCTGGGAATCTGAATTTAAGCCATCCCCAAAGGCAGAAGTCAGTGATGGAAGAGAAGAGCTGCTTGAGGCAAGTAAGCATAGCCACATTCTAACTAGAAGCCGAGTTAATTTTCAGGAACGAGAACCCACCACCAATGGGAGAGCTTCTGAGCCCAGGAGCCAGTCAGAAGGCAGAGGCTGGCACCTTTCAAATGGCTCCCCCGTTTCCAGGGCGACCTGCCCCCACCACATGCCGCTCACAGAGCATGGGGAGAGAATGCCTGCCTTGCCACGGGCCGCCTCTCACCTTTCTTGCCATGATGAGGCCTGAAGGTCTGTGCTGGACCTTGGTGACCACCCCGCCATTCCCGGCTCCCAGCTCTGAGATCCTTTCGAAGTCATCATCCTTGAGCTCCCCAACCTTGGCCTTCTGGGTGAGGAAAGCTTCTAGTCTCTTCTTCTGCTGCTCATCAAGCTCTAGCTCCTCTAGCTTCTTCTGGAGGTCCACCAAGTTTGCTCTGCAGAGACCCCAAGGACAAGGGTTAGTGAAGAGGGTATGAGCTCTCAAAATGACTCAACCCAAGTTGAGGGTACGGTGTGGCCACTGAGCGCCAAGCCCTGGGTTTGCAGCCAGGAGGATGCAGAGATGAATCAGACCTGATTCTTGGGCTTGAGGGGCTGATGATCTAGCAGAAAAGAAAGACCACCTGCGGACACACAGCTGCCCAGAAGAGAAGGCTGGTTCCCCGAGAACTGAGGATACCACCTCTCTGCCTGTTCACAAAGGTCAGGAGACCTTAGGACCTGGAGAACCAGCTCTGGTTCAACGGCCCTTGTATCAGACTCAGGAGCCCTCCTTCCTGATGCAAGGGCTCCCGACCACACTGGAAGGAGACATGAAACTGGGGAAAAGCAAATGGGCATCCTGCGAGTGAAGGCCCAGGCCAGGACGCCTATCTTCATGAGGATGAAAGGGCAAACTCGTTTTTTTTTTTTTTTTAATTATATTTTATTGTTTATGCTGTTACAGTTGTCCCCATTTTTCCCCCTTTGCCTCCCCATCAGGAAGAGCACTCATTTTCAGCCTCAGAGCAAAGAGCAAGAACCAATGGGCAGAAGATAGCACTAATTTATATGAATTACACATGGACTCTGGAGGGGAAAAAGAGGGGCCTGATTTAAACAGTGTAGACAATTGCAGAGCACTCCATTCAACCAACACACTCTTATTATATCCTAAGCACTAGGTAAACATTAGGCAGTTATACACACACATATTCCAGGGCCTGGTTATTTAAAAACCCACATGTACATTGCACTTTACTAAGTGATTCAAGGAATTTTCAAAGGAAATTTTGACAATCAGCTATTTTCACTAATGCCTTGAGCTTGAACTAAATCCTGGTGTAAAAAGCAGCTCTCTGCAACAAGCAAGTAGACTTTAACTCAATGAACACAAGGACTAACCCAGTGTTGTCCAAAGCTAAAATGTAAGCAATGTGTGCAATTTAAAATTTATAGCCGCATAAAAAAAATAAGGAATTGTTTTAATATCTTTAATTTAACCCATAAAAAATATAATAATTTTCCATGAGCAATAAATATAAACAAAATGATGAATATTTGTTTTACTTTTTTTCTTATTAAGTCTTTGAAATCTGGGACGTATGTTATAGTTACAGATGTCCTGAATTTTGACAAGCCACATTTCAAGTGGCTACTGTGCCAGAGAGTGAATGCAGCTCTGAGAAGTCTCTACAGGAGAATGGGCCACCTCAGGCAGTCCTCAGCCACCAATTCCTGAGGGTGTGTAAGCTAAGGCTGACTGTCCACCCAGGGAAGATCTCACAGAGGGATTTGAGCAAGGGATTGAAGGGAGAGCCTGGATGTGCTCTCAGAAACTTCCCAATACTAAAGTGGCTATAACTTGCCTACAATTTAAAGAGGTTCAAGTAAAGGGGCACACAGGCCAGGAATGAGATGACCTGTCACCAGGCGATGGCACCTGAACTGGTACTGCGAAGAGGTGGCTGAGAGACAGCGGGGTGGGTGTCTTTTCCTGAGCAAGTACCAGAGCTTTATAAATATCATCACACTATCTTGTTTAATTCTCAGGATCCTCCTGGGAGGTGGATCTCTTGCAGACCCAGGCCATGTACAAGGGAATAGGCCCAGAAAGGTAAAGTAACTAGCTTGAGGGTCACAGAGCAAGGAAGTGGCAGTGTCTGGAATCAAACCTGTATCCTTCCTGATTGCACAGCCTGTGCTCGAGGCCCCTGAGAGTATCCCCTGAGCCAGGAATGAGGGCCTAGAAGGTGTTCACTGAATGTCTGGTGAACCGAGACCTTGATGAAAAAGGAACAAGAAGGACTCTGATGGATGGAAGAGGGGAAGCAAAGGAATGAATGGATGTGACACAGCTCCTTCACTGGAGGGCTGAGCGGCAACTTTTGAGGCCAGACTCTGGAAGGTCTCCAGCGCTGCCCTATGACATCTAAAATGCAATCTGGAGTCAGCTGATTAATCCATTTTAAATTTAATGGCAACTCAACAGTGGTTATAAAAAACCCTGGAATCCCAATGGCTGGCTTCCTCTACTGGGGAAATTCTTAAAGGGATGGAAATTAGACACCAGATAAAAGAAAGAGAAGAGAATATGAAGAAAGGGCTACCTTGCAAGAAAAAGAGTCAATTTTTCAGTATAAGGAACACCTCCCCATGTTGAATGATGAGCTTGGAGACAGAGAAAGATGTCAATACGCACACATATACATCAAGACTCACCTCCTAACCCTCACCCAGGTTGCAGAAGGCCAAGTCCCCGAGAGGCACGAAACACGTACCATTTGCCCATCACCACTGGTTCTTATGGGGATCACAAAACAACAACAGGAAAGGACCCCCAACCAGGGGCTTCTGGGACCATCCTGCTCTGCTTCACCATGCAGAACAGGAAAGGGGAGGCAATAGGGATTTCTGGGGCCAAGCAGTCACCCTGGCATGACCTGGCTTTCCCTCACACACTAAGATTCTGCCATCATGTAACCCCACCACCCTGGGATGCTCCTTTCTCTGTACCCTTCTCCACAGATACTCCTGTCTCTCTCAGTTGCCTCAAACCCTCAAATCTCCTGCATTTCTCAAGCCGCTGGAAGCTTTGCTAATTCATTTGATTCAGAATCTCTGCTTATCTGCTGTGTGGGGTCCCAGCAGGCCCCCCACTTCTTTCCTGTGTCTCCTACTTCTCCCCACACTCTGATCCTCCAAATTCTCCTCACTCCCTGCTTCCCCAGCCCTCTGGGCCTCCTCAGTGCTCTCCCCAGCTTCAGGGGCTGCACCTCGACCCCCAACTAGCAGGATCTTCTCAGGCTTCCTTCCCCCCAAATTCCCTCAGAGATCCCTCCCACACCCTCGTCTCTCAGGCAACCCTTTCCCCTCATCTCGTATGGACTTCCTCGCCCCCAGGGACCCCATCCACCCTGTCCTGAGAATGCACGGACTCCCTCCTTCCACCTCACCGTTCAGAACACCTAGCCTTTGATTTCACTACTAGGGACCGCCTGACCCACCCCCTCCCCTCAGTAGCCCTCCTCCCAATCATCACCCTGCATTCACTACTCAGGGACCCCCTCCCCCAACTCCATTCTCACTGCTCAGAGGCCCCACACCACACCTTTTTTTCTGCAAGGACCTCATTTTACCCCCATTCGCTACTCAGGGACCCCCTTACCAAAATGTCATTCCTTAGGGCCCCACACACCTTCCTTGCCCCACAGGAACCTCCCCTCACTCCGACCTCTCTACCAGGACCCCCTCCTCACCGACTTCATCATCAGGGACTCCACCCCTCCCACCCCATTCTCTCCTCTCACGGACCCTCGCCCCGCCACCTCACCACCAAAGGGGATCCGCCCCCCGGCCCGTCCTCACCCCGCCCTGGCTCACTCACTCGGAGGCGCCCTCGCTGGTAGGGGACGGGCCCTCGGCGATGGTAGGGTTGATGGTGAGCGCCGGCAGCACCGGCTTCCTCCGGGCCAGCATCGGGGCTCCGCGAGCCGGCGGCAGCGGCACCTCTAGCCGGGGCCCATAGGGGGCGGGCCGGGAGCAGGCGGCGCCAACACAATCCCGGAGCTGAGTCCGCGGCCTAGGCCGGCACCGGGGCGGTGAGGGCGGGAGGCGTTGCGGAAGGGGGCCGATGGGCACCAAGGCGCGCCGGGACTGAGACCGACTAGCCGCCGCCGGCGCCGAGGCCCTACCGAGGCTGACGCTGCAGCGGAGCCCGGGAGGCGGACCGCGGGGAGGGGGAGCGACGAGATTGCAGACCGGCCTCTCGCGAGAGCCAGAGCCAGGAGCCGCGCGGGGCCCCGCCCCGTCCGTCGCCAAGGCTCAGCTGTACCAGCGCAAGGCCGCCTCCCCCAAGGGAAAAGGGGAGGAGACCTACAGAGGCGGTGCCAAGAGCGTGCGCTCTCGTCCGCCTCCCACCGCCGTGTGCGCATGCGGCTGGCGCGCTGGGCGGGGGTTGGGGCGCAGGAGAAGGCAAGGTGAAAAGGCAGCGGTGCGAGGTGAGAGCTCAAGCTGATGAGTAGGGGTGATATCTGACCCTCACATCCTTGTGAGCCCCCGTCCGGGTAAAATCTCCACAAGTTGTGGGAGACCCAAAGTCAACTGAAGTCTCTTTTGGCCAGTTATGGGCACAAACACACAATGCCCACCAAACCGCAATAAATCCCATTCGTTTGTGAAGGAGAGATGTTTCTAAAACGTTTTTATTGTGGTAAACATACGTAACATAAAATTAGACATTTTTAATCTTTTTAAATGTACAGTTCAGTGACATTAAGTGCATTCACATTGTTGTGCAAGCACTGCCACCATCCACCTCCAGAACTTTCCCATCCTCCCAAACTGAAACTCTGCCCCCATTAAACACACGACCCCCAGCCCCTGGCACCCACCATCTACGTTCTGTCCCTATGAATCTCACTCCTCTAGGGACCTCATACAACTGGAATCACACAGAGTTTGTGCTGTTGTGACTGGCTTATTTCACTCAGCATAATGTCCTCAAGGTTCATCCACAAGGTTGTAGCAGGTGTCAGAGTTTCCTTTCTTTTTAAAACAATAGTATACCATTGAATGGGTGGACCCCATTCTATTGATTTATTCATCCTTTGATAGGCATTTGAGTTTTTCCACCTCTTGGCTATTTTGAATAATGCTATGAACAGGAATGTACAAATATCTGTTCAAGTCCCTGCCCCAGTGACTGCACCGTTTCATGAGAAAGGTTATTTTAACACTATTTTTTTTTAAAGAAGGAAGTTCATGACGCAGAATAAAGGACAGTCATTTAAATGTGAAAAAAAGTTTATATAAAATTCACCACATTGCTTTTCTCTTTATCCTATCTCTGGCACCAGTGTACATTTTATGGTGGGTTGTATCTTGGGGAATCACGTGTTAAGAAACAAAGGAAAAACTCAGTCAACATGCTCTTCCAGAGTTCAGCCCAGGTCCCCCGGTCTCCCTGGCTCAGTCCTGCCCACTCCCTGTCAAGCTGCTTCTCAGTTATTCTTTTAACAGTTAATTTGCAATGTCCTTTATGTGCTATCCACTGTGCTGCGCATCAGAGATACAATGTTTAAAAACCAGGTATACAATATATGTATACTTAATTGCAAAATGTGACAATGCTCTAAAAATGCAAAGATGTAGCCATAGCTCTTCCCTGATTAAAACTGCTCCCAGACATGCCTGTTCTTTTGCTTCTGTAATCCAAGCCTTTTCAGTTTTGCCTCTCACTGTTTCCACTCACCCAAAATTTGGGAGAATGCTCAACGGGCCTCAGATAACGCCATGACCTTTCCCAGCTCTGGGCATTTCTACCTTCCTTCCGTTCTACAGACTGATCTCTCCAGCATATTTCATTTTAGGCTATAAATGCATAGTCTTTTTAAACTTTTTATTATATAAGTTTTATTTATTTTTAAATCCTCACCTGAGAATATGTTTATTGATGAGAGACAGAGTGAGAATTGTAATTTGTAACATTACACTGTTTTTGTGGTATAAATATTTTCGCCACAACTGATTATCATGGAATTAAAAAGATTGTTAATAATAGGCACCTATGAGCCAGGACAAACCAACTGTAGCTTATCATTACTCAGACACACCCTAGATTCTGACTTCTATCCTCATAGAGTCAGTTTGCAGGTTCTAGAGTCTTGTGTGTGTGTGTGTGTGTCTTTTTTTTTCTCTCCACACAATATTTTTGAGATTCATCCAAGTGGTTGCATCTATCAGTAATTTGTTCTTATTTCTTGCTATATGATGTTCCACAGTTTATAATTGGGATTGCCCTTACCAGAGAACCTTCTTGAGGAAGTTAAAGAGATCAAGTATTTTCTAATAATCAGAATTTTTCACTGTTCCTTGATTCCTATTTGACAATTCTCCTACTTCTTGCTGCTTTCCCACTTCCTTGCTCTCCCAGTGCACCGCCTTTATTTCTGGTTCATGGCCCTTGCTGCATCCTGATTTACTTCCCTGCTCTCCCATTTTGCCTTTCCTACTAGTTATGAATGTTTTGAGAGCATGAGGATGTTGGATTTGTCTCTTTCTCTCCCTGTCCAGCTTCTTAGAGTTAAAGCTTCACACATAAATGCTACTCGAATAAGTGAAATTAGTGTTCCTGCCCTTGGAGAGATGCATTTCCAGTTCTATTACCTGATTCTCAGAACTTGTTATGAAACATGAGGTTTTATTATTGAGGTTACAGTACAGATGCATACCCTCACCTCCTCCTCTATCTTTATTAGTGAGCACATTTTGCTCTGTAACTTCTCCCTGTTACATATCTCTCTACTTACCATTGCTTCCAATCATACCATTCTTAGTACATCTGTTCCTTGACCCCAGAGACTTGGGTGGCTTCTAAATCACTCCTCCCATTTCAAGGAAATAAATTTCTAATAGCTTTGTTGATAGATTCAATCCAAGGTGACATTTATCTCATTTAAGCACAACCTAGCATTAATATCAGTTGTGTGCATGCTATCTATCTGCAAATGCACCCTGAACTTTATCTCTCTCACCTGTGCAATGGATTAACTGAAAGAACGGCTGACCCCACCCCTTTGGGAAACAATTTAGCACTATCTGGAATAGCCTATGACCCAGGAATTTTTCTCTTAGGCATATAATCGAGGAAACTGTTGCTCTTGTATAACCAGGACACACACACACACACACACACGCACGCACGCACGCACGCATGCACGTTTTTGATGGTACCAATCTGGAAATTACACAAATATCCATCAATGGAAAAAGGGAAAATATGTTTTGGTATAGTCTCACAAAGAAATATTAAGCTGTAGAAGACTCAAATGACAACAACATAAAAAATTCTTAGGAACATGAAATGATGGAAGACTCTCTATGACACCATGTGTATAAAATGAATGTGGCTCAGCATTGTTAGGCATTGGGGTAATGCAGATATTTTTATTTATTGATTTTTAGAGAGAGAGAGGGAGGGAGGGAGGAGGGGAGAGGGGGAGAGAGAGAGAGAGAGAGAAAGAATCGCTTTGTTATTCACTTATTGATGCCTTCATTGGTTGCTTCTGGTATGTGCCAAAACTGGAGATCAAACCTGCAACCTTGGTATATCAGGACGATGCTGTAACCAACTGAGCTACCTGGCCAGGGATGGGAAATGAAAATTTTAAAATAAAATAAAAAAGGCTGACAATATCAAGAGCTAACAAAGATATTGAGCAACTGGGATTCTCTTACATTGCTCGTGGGGATACAAAAATGGAACAGCCCCTTCAAAAAATGATTTGGCAATTTCTTAGAAAGTTAAACACACACTGTATGACCCAGCAAGCCCACTCCTGGGTGTTTACCCAAGAGAAATGAACTCATAGGTTCACATGAAAACCTGAACATGAACATTCATAAAACTTTATTTGTAATAGGCCCCAAACTGGAAACAACCCAAATGTTCTTCAATTGGTGAATGGATAAACAAATTGTGCATTAGTTTCATACAATGGAATACTACTCAGTAATAAAAAGTAAACTATGTATACATGCACCAACTTGGGTGAGGCTCAAAGGCATCATGCTGCATGAAAGAAGTCAGTCTCAAAAAGTTACATAGTAACTTGATTCCATTTATATGACATTCTTTTATTTTTTTTAATTATCTCACCTGAGGATATGTTTATTGATTTTAGAGAGAAAGAAATGGGGGGGGGGGGAGAGAAACATGATGTGAGAAACATCGATCGGTTGCCTCCTTTATGTGCCCTGATCAGGGATTGAATCTGAAACCTAGGTATGTACCCTGACTGGGAACTGAACCCACAACCTCTTGGTGTATGGGATGATGCTCCAATGAATTGAGCCACCCAGCCAAGGTATGACATTCTTTTTTTAAGTTTTTTTTTGTACATTTTAAAAAAGATTTTATTTATTTGTTTTTTAGAGAGGGGGTAGGGAGGAAGAAAGAGAAGGAGAGAAACATCAGTCAGTTTCCTCTCATATGCACCCGAACCTGGGAGGAACCCAGGCTTGTGCCCTGACCTGAAATTGAACAGTGACCTTTCACTTTGTGGAATGACGCCCAACCAACTGAGCCACACTGGTCAGGGCACTCTATACTATTTATTTTTTTTACAACTTTTATATGAGCTTAAAATTATTTTAAAATAAAAAGTTAAAAAATAAACAAGGACAATATGGCAGTTGCTCAAAAAATTAAACAGAACTACCACATGATCCAGCAATTTCTCTTCTGAGTATATACTCAAGAGAACTGAAAGCAAGGACTGAAACAGATACTTAAAGACTCATATTTATAGTAGCATAATTCACAGTAATCAAAAGGTGGAAACAATCCAAGTGTCCATCAACAGATAAACACGATGTGGTTCACCCAGACAATGGAATATTATTCAGCCTTTAAAAAAGAAGGAAATTCTGACACTTGCTACAACGTGGATGAATCTGGATGGCATTATGCTCAGTGAAATAAACCAGTCACAGAAGGACAATTAGTAGGATCCCCCCAGGAGGCTCCTAGGGGAGTCAAATCCCTGGAGACAGAACGTAGACGGTGGGAGCCAGGGACTCAGGAAGGGGGAATGGGGAACAATTAATTAATAGGTACTGGGTTTCCTTTTAGGGCAATGACAATGTTTGAAACCCCATAGAGCTGATGGTCATAAAACATTGTAACTGTATTAAATGCAACTAAATTCTTCATGATGCATGTTTTTAATTTTATTTTCATCAATTTTTGCTAATTTTGTTATTGT